CCGAAGTCTTCCTCTTCTTCTTCTTCTTTTTTCTCTTCTTTCTTTTCTTCAGCTTTAGTTTCAGTTTGTGCAGTAGTAGCAGCTGGGGCAGCGGCTGCAACAGCCATTGATCCCATTTGTTTCTTTCCAGCTTCAATAACTTCCCAAACGTTCTTACCATTCATGGCATCGAAAACTTCTTTGATTTTAGCTTCGTCAATTTCAGCTCCAGCAGCGCTGAGGATTTCTTTGACTTTAGTTTCTTCAGCATGTTCATGTCCAATAGTGCAAAGGATGTAAGCAGCAATGTATTGCATTTTCAGCCTGGGATGTCAATTTTTCAGTTTTTTCTCTCATTTTTAGGGCTTTTTCTTTTTACTATTTTCTTTCTTAAAATTTACTATTAATTATAGTTTATGTGAAATAGTTTAAGAATAGTTTAAATAATAATGCCAAGATTCAATCTATTAATGAGAGAAAAAGAAAGAAAGAAACAACTAAAAGAAACTCGTTAATTGAGGAGAGTCATAGAAAGTGCATGGCAGTCATAACTATCTCTTTCACCAAAAAAGTGGTGTTTATTTAATTCTCTTGTCAGTTTTGGGATAAGTATTGAAGGTAATTCAAGTTTACATCCTATATTCATTACAAAGAAGATAGTTTTTGACCTAACTAACTTCTTACGTTTTGAAGATTTATTAATTTTGGAGGAAGAATAACAAATGGATGAAAAATAAGATACTAATATGTTAAGACAATATGAAAATAGAAATGTAAAAGAATAAATATTTACAAACGTATTTCTTCAACCATGTTATAATCATCTTCGATAAAATCCCAAACTAGTAATAATGTTGAACAAAAATTTTTATCTGTGAACTTATTTTCTTCACAAATTTCAGCAGTGTTATTGCATAATAATACACTTTATCGGATGAGTTAATACAATATATAATTAAGGTTAAAGATAAAAATGTCGAACAAACAAAACCGATTGTAAAATCCATGAGTCTAAGTAATATTTTATATGGAGTTGAAGGATAAATTGACGATGTTTTTCTAGTAAATTCATGAAGAGTTCAATATTATAATCAAATAGGTGTGATGTTGGAGTTCCAATAATTCTATTTGAGAGTTGAGATTGGATTAGTTCAAAGTGATAATTCTGAAGATTATATACTTCTTTGTTTTTAGGAGTGTTTGGTTGTTTAAAAAAGAGGGTAAAGAATGATCTAAGTGATTGGTATTAGATTTTTCAAAAACAAGAAGAGAAGAAACAAACTTCATCATTTCCATGGATAAAACAAATAAGTAGAAAGCTTTTAGATAAGGTTTAAATGAGAGACTATTGATATAATGATATGATTGAGATTTGATTGTTTTTTTTTCTTTTGTTTTTAAAAAATAACAAGAAAAAGAACTTTAAAATAGATAAATTAATGGAAAAGCCAAAACCAGAACTAAAACATTATTTGGAAAAAAGAATTCTCGTTAAAATACATGGAAAACGAAGTATTATTGGTGTGTTGAGTGGTTATGATGAATATATGAATTTAGTTTTAGATGAAGCATATGACGCATCAAATCCAGACACTGATAAACATATTCCAATTGGAATGATTATGATTCGAGGAAATTCAATACTTTCAGTAGAAACAATTGACCCAGTACATACAACAAAGTAAAAAATTGTTTTATTGTTTAAGTGATTGGCATTTGTTAAAACATTTTGGTTAATCAATATCATAAAAAAAAACGGAGAAAAGAAATCATACAAGTTATTGAGAAATATGAATAGAGCCACTTACAGATGACATTGGAGATATATTACTACAAGGTAAACTCATTGCTCTTTGAGTGTTAGATTGAGTGGTTCGAGGTAATGGTTCTGGGATATATTGTAATCCTATGTCTGACTGTATTATTGGATAAACAATAGATTTTAATTCATTTGGTAATTCAATTACTTGGGAATAGAAAGGTAATATAGAAGATGATAATGTTTTTGTTTGAGTAATAATTGAATTTGCATTGTTTACAAACTGAACAACCAAATTACCATCCATTTGTGATGGAGAAGTTTTAGCTTGATTTTCTAAAGTATTTAATATTGATTCATTGTCTTGGGACATTTGATTTAATGAATTAATTGTATTTGTAATAGAAGATTGTAGTACAGAGAAAATAACAGGAGAATGTGATCTATAAGTTCTAGGAGAATGAGCAGAATTATAACTACCAATCATAATAGCACTAGTAGAGCTTTTATGAATTGGTTGTGTTGGAGCTGGTGGAACGCCTTGTATACCAATATCACCAGATGTATTTGTTCTTGTTCTTTGTTTATGAATCCTTGGGGAAATATCTTCAGATGTTTCACCTTGAATTGAGTATCTTCTTCTTCTAAATCTATTATCACTATTATCTGACCGAGTTGATGTTGTTGGAAGACAAACATCTTTTGTTGGTGCGATTGTTTGAATTCTTGAATTATAACATTGTTGTGTTTGTTGTTCAAGTAATTGTAAATAATAATTCTCATTTTGACAATAGTCTTCCCAAGAAGGTCTCTATGATAATAAGTTTTATGTCTTTAAATTTTCTAAAAATTTTCATTACAGTTGTTTTATTTTCTTTTTCATTTAAATGAATTTCTTATGACATAAATATTATATGTCTTTCTTTTTTGATTAATTATTGAAGAATAATTTAAAAATTTAAAAGTGGTTGTTAGAGAGAATTGATACGTTTTATCAATATCTATAATCAAAATATAATTAAATATTAACAAACAGAATGAGAAGGAATTTGACACCATTTAATTCGACTTGTAATTTGTTGAATTGACTTTGTTGGGAATCGACTTGAAATTTTGAGAATTAATGCAATATCATTAACCTTTTTTCCTTGTTGTTGTAGTCTATAAAAAATTAGAGTTAAAGTTCAAACTAATACAAATAAAACATATTAATAAAATGAAACACACGTTAATAACTCTTCATCTAGGCTATTTTGTTCATTATGTGACCATTCACAAACACCTACTGTATCATTTTTGATAAGATTGTGATTTGGTTTTCCAGACATTTTCACAATTCAAAAATTTAACGATATTTTAGTTCTATTTACTCTTTTTCTCTTTTTGTCATTTCTTAACCCTTAAAAAAAATTCCAAATCAAAAAAAATCTTTTTCGTTCTTTTCTCTCTTTGAATGAGAATCAATCTTCTTCATTCTTTTCAACTCCGTTCTAATCTCCTGAAAATTTGGTTCTTTTCCCCTATTTTTTTATTGATTATTCTATCTTTAAATTCATGATTGAGAAAAAATTAAAAATGATGAAAAAAGATTAGTTTCAATTCTTACTGAACCAAAACGATAATGTATATGGAGCGAGAGTGGACAGTTGTTGAGCAATTAGTTCTGGTAGAGTCAATTGATTATTATTTTCCACATGATTATCGAGAATGGAGATTAGTTAGTGAGTTAGTAATAAAGACAATGTCTTATTTTAGCCATGTTAACGTTAAATTATATAGTCCAGATGAGTGTTTTAGTCAGTGGACAGTAATTGAAAAGAAGTATTTGGATAAAGTTCCACCTGAATGTTCTTTATTAAAGTCAATCATCCTTATTCTTAGAAACAAAAGAATAGAAGAACTTGATATAGAAATCCAAGTTGTTAAACAACGTCTTCTTCATTTCAAACAAATGTCTTAAAACTCTTCAACTTTCCTCTATTTATTTTTTCATTTCTTTTCATTTTTAATTCTCTTCTTTTTTTTTGAATGATGTTAATTTTTAGTTTACGAAATATTTATGTAATTAAAAATTTTCATAAATTCAAATAAGAGTATTATTCATTATACCTCATTCTTTTGAAAATAAGAATATATAACAATGTCTTTGAAATGGAATTGACATTGTTTGTTATGAATAACTTTATTCAAGTATTGTTTAAAATATTATTGTCTAAGAGACAATAACTAATACTACTATTTAGAATTAAATTAAGACATACAAGAGACTTTCTGATATTTCCTTTGTTTCAAAGACTATCTTTTCATTAACAGTCAATTAATAATTAACAAAGAAGAATTATAGAAGACTAATTTTCTACTATCTATTTAA